GAACTCCGAGTAAAAAAGAATCCGTCAAAAACATAATTTGATTTTTATTCCGAGATAAGACAAAGCACATTTTAACAAATTGTGATAATTGTAACTTTTCATTTTGCAAACTGTTTAGAGTGAGTGATTGATGGGCGCTCAGGTATGGTTAGCATATCTTTCCTATTATCGAAACCTCTTTTTCTTTTCTGTGTATGCTACTCTCTCGAATTACCTCTGACCATTGGAACGAGTATGAACTTATTGCGTTTCAGCTACTGTAAAACTCTTACTAAAACATCTGTTTAGATGTGTACGGAAGAAAATAAGAGAATGATATGCATTACGCTTTTCGCCATTTTACCCAAATTTCCCCACATAGATCAGTAAAGTTTTTTTTTATTTTTTATTTAGTTTAAATTTATTTATTTATTTATTTATTTATGTATTTAGTCATTTTTTTCATTTATTCATGTATTTATTCTTTTATTTAATGAAAACTCCACTGCTAACCGCAAACGTAAAAAAAATAATAACATAACTGCATGTGCGTCAGTTTTGACAACACCAATAAAACAGGAGAACAATAATAATATTGCTCCTTTTTTAGTTGATTATCCAGAAATAACCGGCTCGGCTGTCTCCAAAACATGCTTCGGTTCTTGACCCGGCGCAGAAAGGCTTCCTTGTCAAAGTAACTATCGAACGAAAGCGGTACACAATCGTTTGTATATTATTATTTCCATCATCATTTTTATTATTATTATTATTATTATTATTATTATTATTATTATTATTATTATTATTATTATTATTATTATTTTTATTATTGTTGTTGTTGTTGTTGTTGTTGTTGTTGTGTGTGTGTGTGTGGTAGCCTATCCTTTCGAAATGTTTGGAGCCCCGAAGAGCGTGCTCTTCGCCAGGGCCACCGCCTCCCTTGGGTAGCGGATGAGGTAGTCCAACCTCCCTGAATCCTCCCCAAAGAGAAGCCACCGCCGGACCTCCGTGGCGGGGCATCTCTGCAGCCAGTGCTCCAAATCTTGGATTGGTGATGTTGTTGTTGTTTGTTTTCTTGTTATTGTTGGGGGTGGGGGGGAGGGGAGGACGTACCCGTACCCCAAATTGTCCATCTTGCTCGTATACCTTTCATACACACCCTCTCAGCTCCTTTCCCACCCACCCCACCCCCACCCCAAAATCCCCACAAAAAGAAACCCCAGCCACTCCCTATCTCAGCTGCTTTTGTCCACAC